TTTTTATGATTTCATTTTTGACCATCATCATTTGCATGCCCTTTTCCCAATTCTATATGTGGTCGACGCAACATGTCTTCCGCTTCCATTCTCCTCTATCACTCGCAATATCAACACTCACTCCCTTACTGGCCATGTCCTCATTCACACAATCTATCCATCTTTTTTTCTTCGGTTTCCTCTCCCCGGGTAACCCTCCACTCTCATTATACAGGTTGGCTTATTGAAATGGGTCAGGATGGGAAAGTCTGAAACTATAATATATATGAAGATCTGTTCTTGGGAACAAGATTTTAATAAAAATAAAAACTGCATTCATACATTTAAGAAAAACCCTGTGATCAGCACGGGAATCAAATCCGGTCGTTTTGAAAAAAAAAACTTACACTATTTCTATTTAAATATCGATTATGTAGGTCTGAAGCAGTAAATGTTTCTATTAAACGTGATGTCTCAAATGCGTAAAATGCATTTTTGTCACATAATTTAAATTATTTCAGTAGAGGTTCTAAGTGACCACCGTTTTTTTAATACAAAATTTAACACGTATAGGTAACTTATCTTACTAATAAATAGAAATAGGAAATAGTGTTAGTTTTTTTTTCAAAACGACCGGGTTCGATTCCCCAGCTGACCACAGGGTTTTTCTTAAATGTATGAATGCAGTTTTAATTTTTATTAAAATCGATGACATAGTTCCTAAGAACAGATCTTCGTATATATTATAGTTCAAACTTTCCCATACTGACCCATTTAAATGAGCCATCTTGTATACTCTCATATTAAATTTTTGACCATTATATAATTATTTGCCGAACAAGGATTGCTGCCTGATTTTTTAAATTGCTTACAAAATCTTTTTGTGCCGACCAAATTATTTAAAGGCTGACCAATTATATACTTCTCATGAAACATTAGTATTTTGTGTAACCTCCTTCTGCATTTAATACGTCTTGTAAACGTTTCCTCATGGAACCAACTACCTTCTCACAAAAACCTCGACCTCTGAACGATTCCCAAACATCATTTGCATGTCGCCTTAAGGCTTCTGTTGTTCGACATTGATTACCATCCCACTCTTGCACCATTTTACCCCAAAGGTTTTCGATGGGATTGAGGTCTGGACTTTTTGGTGGTAGTTTGATTAAAGTTAGTTCTCTCTGTTCATTAATCCATGTCTGTACTGTACGAGCATTATGTACTGAGCTGTTGTCTTGAAGGAATGTCATTTGTTGTTCTGGATAAAAAACTTGAGCTGTAGGAAGAAAAGTATCTTCCAGAAGTTCCTTATAATTCATTGCATTCATTCGTCCACTTATTTCCACAAGCTCACCAGGACCATCTTTGCACATCCATCCCCAAAATCCAATTGAAATACGTCCACTCCGGCGATTAGGCAGCACATTTTGTTCTAAGTAACATGTTTTTTCGGGTCGCCACAAACTTAATCGCCCATTATCTGATGAGCAGAAAACCTTTTCGTCCATGAAAATAACGTTTTGAAAATTAAAATTTAAATAATTAGCTGCAAATTGTAGCCGCTGCATTTTGTGCCTTGGCGTGAGAGTTGTTTTTTTTGCCGGTACTCTATTTTTTAAACCTCCTTCTTTTAATCGTCTTCTAATGGTGCTAGTGGATATTTCGAATGTGCTTGAAAATTGTGTAGTGTTTATAAATCTGTCATTTTTGGCTTTATCTATAATAGCTATGTCTTGGTTATTTGTAGTAATACGCGGGCGACCAAATGAAACATGATTATTTAATGTTTCTCCTTGCTGCCATCTTTCTAGCCATAAATATACAGTATTTCTCTGAAATAAATACAATTTTATACTTTGTGAATAAAGTTTCATGTTTTGTGGGCAATTGATTTTTAGCATTTTTCTCCGTGATACTTACGGCTATCCCTAGCTCATCGGCGATATCTTTTACGGATAAACCATCATTTTTTAGTTGTATTATTTTATGTTTCATTTCCGCATCAATACGGTACGAACTCATATTAATTATAGTTAATTTATGGTATGAACTAATACGTAAGCAAGCTGCTTGAATTTATTTGTGCATGACACATGACAGAGGTGATAAGAATAAAAACTGGAAAGTGTTTAACTGCCAGCGTCATCTTATTATAAATAAATAATTAAGAGGTCCTATTAAAATTGTTCAGATATTTTTGAAAAGTTGTATGTTCAGATATTATTGACAGGCATCTGCTCAGATATTATTGAAGTAATGAATGATCAGATATTAATGGTCACTTGTAGTGTATAGAACTTATTGACATTTTAACTGTTCAGATGTATTTGGTCATCTTGTATGCTCAGATATATCTGATGGCGACTGTACCAGGTAATCAATGTTTGTTTTTAAACGCATTTAAAGCAAATTTTGTTCTAATACTTACTATAAAGTGATTTAATAGAAAATATTTGTGATATTCAAATGCATGGTCGGTAATATAGCCGTCTGTTTTTGTCGCGGTCCGTATCTGTTGTATTGGTAACAGTGCATTCAGAATTACGTGTAGAGTCAAAGAAATAAGGTCTATATTCTTCCGCATATAGCAATAAGTCGTAAAATTTAACGAGGTTGTATTTCGAACTCTTTGACGCTTGCGTTTTAATTAAGAACTTATACATTAAGCATTAAAGGTGTCTTTCAATGTTCAAAAAATGCCTTATGTTGTTTTTGACCACGCGATCATCTTACAGAGCTCCGTGGATCGTTCAATGTACCTTTTGGACAGGCTTCGGCCACGGTTTTGTTCGTGTTGGTGTATCTAGGGTATTTAATATCGTTGTGTCTGTGCCTAAATTCAATCTGGAAACATCGATATGAGACAAAAGATGCTCACATTCTAAAATTTAAGCCGGAGGCACTACACAAGCGAAGAGGCCGTAACGTTACGGGCGTTACAAACCTGGTAGGCGACGACAGGGTCGTGAGCGGGTGCTCGGTCCCGAATCTGATGATCAGTTCCACGCGTGTGTGTGCTGTATGTATATGTATATGTATATGTCGGTACAGACCTGGTACGCGATGTAGACGGGGATCCAGGCGGTCGGCACCGAGGGTCGGGGCGCGGGCGCGGCGACGGCCGGGGCCGTGAGCGGGTGCTCGGTCCCGAATCTGATGATCAGCTCCACGCGTGTGTGTGCTGTATGTATATGTATATGTATATGTCGGTACAGACCTGGTACGCGATGTAGACGGGGATCCAGGCGGTCGGCACCGAGGGTCGGGGCGCGGGCGCGGCGACGGCCGGGGCCGTGAGCGGGTGCTCGGTCCCGAATCTGATGATCAGCTCCACGCGTGTGTGTGCTGTATGTATATGTATATGTATATGTCGGTACAGACCTGGTACGCGATGTAGACGGGGATCCAGGCGGTCGGCACCGAGGGTCGGGGCGCGGGCGCGGCGACGGCCGGGGCCGTGAGCGGGTGCTCGGTCCCGAATCTGATGATCAGCTCCACGCGTGTGTGTGCTGTATGTATATGTATATGTATATGTCGGTACAGACCTGGTACGCGATGTAGACGGGGATCCAGGCGGTCGGCACCGAGGGTCGGGGCGCGGGCGCGGCGACGGCCGGGGCCGTGAGCGGGTGCTCGGTCCCGAATCTGATGATCAGCTCCACGCGTGTGTGTGCTGTATGTATATGTATATGTATATGTCGGTACAGACCTGGTACGCGATGTAGACGGGGATCCAGGCGGTCGGCACCGAGGGTCGGGGCGCGGGCGCGGCGACGGCCGGGGCCGTGAGCGGGTGCTCGGTCCCGAATCTGATGATCAGCTCCACGCGTGTGTGTGCTGTATGTATATGTATATGTATATGTCGGTACAGACCTGGTACGCGATGTAGACGGGGATCCAGGCGGTCGGCACCGAGGGTCGGGGCGCGGGCGCGGCGACGGCCGGGGCCGTGAGCGGGTGCTCGGTCCCGAATCTGATGATCAGCTCCACGCGTGTGTGTGCTGTATGTATATGTATATGTATATGTCGGTACAGACCTGGTACGCGATGTAGACGGGGATCCAGGCGGTCGGCACCGAGGGTCGGGGCGCGGGCGCGGCGACGGCCGGGGCCGTGAGCGGGTGCTCGGTCCCGAATCTGATGATCAGCTCCACGCGTGTGTGTGCTGTATGTATATGTATATGTATATGTCGGTACAGACCTGGTACGCGATGTAGACGGGGATCCAGGCGGTCGGCACCGAGGGTCGGGGCGCGGGCGCGGCGACGGCCGGGGCCGTGAGCGGGTGCTCGGTCCCGAATCTGATGATCAGCTCCACGCGTGTGTGTGCTGTATGTATATGTATATGTATATGTCGGTACAGACCTGGTACGCGATGTAGACGGGGATCCAGGCGGTCGGCACCGAGGGTCGGGGCGCGGGCGCGGCGACGGCCGGGGCCGTGAGCGGGTGCTCGGTCCCGAATCTGATGATCAGCTCCACGCGTGTGTGTGCTGTATGTATATGTATATGTATATGTCGGTACAGACCTGGTACGCGATGTAGACGGGGATCCAGGCGGTCGGCACCGAGGGTCGGGGCGCGGGCGCGGCGACGGCCGGGGCCGTGAGCGGGTGCTCGGTCCCGAATCTGATGATCAGCTCCACGCGTGTGTGTGCTGTATGTATATGTATATGTATATGTCGGTACAGACCTGGTACGCGATGTAGACGGGGATCCAGGCGGTCGGCACCGAGGGTCGGGGCGCGGGCGCGGCGACGGCCGGGGCCGTGAGCGGGTGCTCGGTCCCGAATCTGATGATCAGCTCCACGCGTGTGTGTGCTGTATGTATATGTATATGTATATGTCGGTACAGACCTGGTACGCGATGTAGACGGGGATCCAGGCGGTCGGCACCGAGGGTCGGGGCGCGGGCGCGGCGACGGCCGGGGCCGTGAGCGGGTGCTCGGTCCCGAATCTGATGATCAGCTCCACGCGTGTGTGTGCTGTATGTATATGTATATGTATATGTCGGTACAGACCTGGTACGCGATGTAGACGGGGATCCAGGCGGTCGGCACCGAGGGTCGGGGCGCGGGCGCGGCGACGGCCGGGGCCGTGAGCGGGTGCTCGGTCCCGAATCTGATGATCAGCTCCACGCGCCGCTCCTCCACCGTCAGCTCGGCGATCACTTCGCGGGACGCGCGGTGGATGCGGATTTCCACGTCCTGACACATAACAATATACTTAAATAAATTAACTGTTTAAAGCGCTGCGCATTAAGTGGCTTTGATTTTTAATGACAAAATTCTAAAATGGTATTTGTTTAGTTTCTAAATTAATCTTATTAAGAATCTTTGTCGTGTACTAGCTATCTTCGTGTGATTGGCGGAATAATGGGTAAATAAACAAAAAAATGGGTGCGTGTACTTATGTAGGCGCGTGAAAAGTTATCCTTCTTTGGCATCGTTTAAAATTAGTTTTTAATTGCATGCAAATAATTAATTACAATAAATTAATAAAAAGTCTGGAAAAGGACACAGTCAATAAAGTTCAGTTTCAATTTGAAAAAATAAATAAATAATCAAAATATTCAATTAAAATCGCTACTGAATATAATTTATTAGAACATATGTGATTTGCACTTGTATGAAACTCAAACACGTATTCCGAATATACAAACTAGAAACACGTGGATAAATATTATAAATATGAATACCTATAACTGTTACTTTATTACAAAAAATAAAGATGTAGTTTTTGGTTCTACTACACCAATGGTCAAGAGATGGCGCTGTAGTCTCCTGAATCGCGCTTTGGTTCCGTTGTTCCAGATTAATAAATACTTTTGATAGGCCTTCACAATGCAGTCGTTAACACCCACTAAATAGAGATTCTATTTCTATTTTATTGGTAGATTTTCTTAATGTGCGGTAAACACAAAAGTAACGCATGAAGTTGGTTCCTAAAGCGACCAACTTCATGCTGTTAAAATTTTGTGTTACAGTGATGCGCGCGCATCTTAAAATTTCACTCTCATCATTTTTTCATAACGCGCCTAAAGAAGTATTACTTCAAAAAGCTTTAATTTTGTACATGTCTAAATAGAGCGGCGCGGGCTCCTCCCTCGTTTTCGTGGAAAGAGGATAGGGGTATGTGGCGGCCCGATGGGGAGAAGTAGTGGTAGTGTCGACCTACTTCTCCCCCAACCGATTTTGAGCAGTTTCTGGCTGCGGTCGAAGGGGTCGACCACCGCGCGGCCCCCCGTCAGGTTCTGGTAGCAGGAGACTTCAACGCCAAGTCTACGGCGTGGGAGTCACCCCGCACTGATATTCGGGGCGGTATTCTGAAGTCCTGTGCTTTCTCTTTGGGGCTCCAGATCCTCAATCGAGGTACCACCCCGACCTGCGCCCGCTGGCAGGGCACGTCTCCAATCGACGTGTCCCTTGCCACCCCACAGCTCGCGGCCCGAGTCCGGGACTGACCGGTGGTGGTGGACATGGAGAGCCTAGCGGACCACAGATACGTCCGATACCAGGTCTCCACGGCATCCCCTGGGGCCCCTTCTCACCTGGGCCCCCGTGTGGGCGTCTCACCGTTTAAGCGCTAGATGCTCACACGCCTCCAGCCTGATGTGGCGGAGGAGGCGGAGACAGTGCGGGCTTGGTCTGAAGTCCCGATACTGTCGCCGGGGATGCCGACGGCATGGCGGACCAGGAGGCCTACTCTATTTCAACGAAAAACGACATTTCGATCGTAATTTCGCACGTTCCTTACTCTGTTTCTATTTCATTTCGAAAATTCGTTCGTCCGAAAATAGTTTGACATTTAATTTCTCTAAGCCTACTCTAATTCACAAAACTTTTGAACTAAAAGTTGAATTTGACAGATAATTGTTCGAAATTTTAACCTCAATTTGACGAAATGAAAAGTGTTACATTTTCATTTTCGTTTTGGGTTTTTTTGTTTAAATTAAACCTAAAATTACTAATGAGTATTTTTAATTAAGGCTGCTTAGCGTGAGGAACATCTTTTAGTATGAAAAATTTACAAATAAATCTAATTTTTGTTTATTATTGTATTGCCAATATTTCAAAGTATTACACGACAAATTTAGGTTGACGTACATTCGATTGCATAAACTCTACAAATCAGTCGGCTTACACTTACAAAAGTGGTTGTTTTAATGTAATTAAAAATGTTGTCATAATGTAATATTGTTTTGAAGTAAAAAACGTTATCTAAAAAGTGTCGACCAAAAGAACTCACAAACAAGACTCATTCCATTCGTTCACGATAATTGTCTGCGATTCCGAACTTTATGTGCGTGTTCGAAGATGAAATAGAGTAGAGTCACTTTCAAATTTCCTTTAAAATTCGTTCGTTGCCGAAATTTCGTTTCGGAGAAGGAGAGTAGAGCTCCTGTTCGCAGACGACATCAACGTCGTCTGCAGTGCCGCCATGCCGAGGGCGCGGGCCTGCCCACGGAGCAGGGGGCAGGTATACTGGTGGACGCAGGAGCTCACGATCCTACGTACCGCCAGTATGGGGGCCAGGCGCGCCTACCTACAATGAGGCCCACACGGCCCTACGAACTGCCATCTGCAGAGCCAAGGTCGCTGCCTGGGATAGTTACATAGCTATCCTAGACGGCGAGCCCTGGGGGAAGCCGTACAGGGCGGTTAGGGATAAGTTCGCTTCGGCGGCCCCCTCAACATCCTGGGTTGTTGCGAAGGGTACTGGGGACGCTTTTTCCGAACCCAGGACCCTTCGCACCCCCCAGGATGGCCTCCGGTTTCGCCCCGCAGGCGTGGGCCGCTGGTCCCTCCGTATCGGACGCTGAGGTCGACATGGTGAAGGACAGGCTCCGGGGCCGGATGGGGCCCCAGCCAAGGTGATGGCGATCGCCTTGGGCCCCCTGGGGGACCGATTCCGCGCGGTGCTGGATGTATGCATCGCATCGGGTGCTTCCCCAGGCGCTGGAGAGAGGGGGGGGGCTCTGCCTGCTCCGTAAACAGGGCCGCCCGGCGGACTCTCCGGCGGGCTATCGGCCGGTGGTGTTGCTCGATGAGTTCGGGAAGGCGTTTGAGAAAATCATCGCCTGCTGGATCGAGCACATAGAGGGCACGGGGCCGGACCTGGCAGATTGCCAGTACGGCTTCCGCACCGGCCGGTCCACGATGGACGCAATAGGCTACCTCAAAAGGTGGACTGAGGTGACCACAGCACGGGGGGAGGTGGTGATCGCGGTGTCCCTGGATATCACGAATGCGTTCAACACCATGCCCCACGAGTGCATAGAGGCGGCGCTCGAATTCCACCGAGTGCCCCTCTACCTCCGCGCCCTCGTGCGGGACTACCTGCGGGACAGGTCAGTCCTCTACGAGGACGCGGAGGGGCGCATTCAGTCGTAGACAGTGGCAGCAGGTGTGGTCCAGGGTTCCGTTTTAGGCCCTCTATTATGGAACCTGGGGTACAACTGGGTCCTGCGTGGCTCGCTCTTGCCGCGAATGGGTCGTCTGCTTCGCGGCGAGAGCGAAGGAGTGGGAGGAGGTGCTCCACCTTGCCTAGCCTGCCTAGAAATAGGTATAATGACTGTTGCCTCTCAATACATTTACAATTGTATATTGTTTGTGCGTCAGAACATAAATTTATATACGAGGCGCGATGATGTACATAATTTCAATACCAGAAATAAAGATAAACTCAAATTGCCACCATTGAGACTCCAAAAGGTTCTTGGTTCATTTGTGGGTAGGGACACGAAAAAAGTATCGATACTTTGTGGTATCGAGTACTTTTCCTTTCGATACCGATACTTTTGTACTCGATACTTTGTATTCGATACTTTTACTAAATGAGTACTTTTTGGCAAGTATCGATACCTTTAAAAATTTGGATAAGCGCCTCATATTGATAGCAACGCCATCTTGTTAAATCATAGCAAACCTTCTAAAACGTTCCATAGGGTATTCGACAAGTTTTAGGCAACGATCTCACGTTATTGACTAATGTTTATGGAGTCCGTAAAAAGTGGATATTCATCATTCTGTTGTGTATTTCAGTAAAAATAACCAAATCAAAAACTCCATTCTGAAGTTGCCGCGAAAACGTTTCTCTGGACAATATGGCGTCTTACTAGTGTGTGACGTCACACGACTGTTATTAAAACGTGAAAGGATACAATGTAATGTCACTTTGACCGAAAGTTTACTTGCGTGTGACGTCACGACATATTCAAATTCTTTCCAATCTGTGACTGTGTTTATTTTGCGCTTTGTTTTGTTTTATACTTATTTATTTAGCGACCATATTGTTAGGAACTGTGATTGATTCGACGTTTATTGTGCTTTTCGCTTGACTGTATTTGATTTATTCAAGTGTATATTATTCTGTCTGTGCTGTGTATACCTAATAGAAACCACCTGAAAAAAAGACGGACGTAACCTCTTCTATAATTATAATCTTGAGTGAAGCATGCCAATGGCAGCCGTTAACTACGTGTCAGATTCAAGTTAACATAAGTGGGTATAATGTTTTTTAATGATTAAAATTCAAGAAAAGTAAGTTTAATTTGAAACAAATCTGAAAAGTTTCAAAGATTCATACTTTTAAATTGTTTAAGATTTCGATCGTTTAAATTAACATTTTAATTATGAATGTAATATTAATGAACACTTTTTTAGTGTCAGAAATCACAGCTATTTTCTTTTCATTATATAATATAGCAATTTGTGAATTTACATGTCCTTTTTTTGTTTTTGATTATACGTACCATAATAAAATTCGATTGTATTTTTTTCAATTTTAACACCGACGGGAGGGGGGGGGGGGGGGTTGCTCATTAGGCCACAGAGGCTCCGATAAGGCCCTATGAAATGTACTCGATACTTTGAAGTATCGATACTTTTGTTTCGTAACTTTTACGAGTATGATACTTTTTTACCGATACTACTCATGAGTACAGTATCGATACTTTCTATTCGATATCGTGTCCCTATTTGTGGGTCAAGGTATATGTTACTATAATAAAATACCAAAAGAAATAATTAATTTACCTTTTAATAAGTTTAAAGTGTGTATAAAAACATGTCTCCTTAAGAAAGGTTACTATACTGTAAAAGATTTCATAAATGATAAGTCACCTTGGGCTTAACATAATAGACTGTCTTTTTACTTTGCTAATTTGGTTGAAAATTGTTTAATCGCCACTTCTAAATTTAAAAAT